ATGCCTAGACAAAATGCCCAAGTCATAAAGACCTATATGTCTATCCTCGTTCCTGCACAAAACGCTAGGAAAAATTGTGTGTAGATACATCAGAAACCGCACACTGACACTCTATCTTCTAAGCGATCGCCAGTATACTTACCAACCAGGAAAGTTTACGGACTCCGCACTGGATGACTTAAACCATCAAAGAGATGGCGCTAGCCGCTAGGCACGTTTCTAGAGAGAACGTTTAATAACGTTCTGGTTCCAACAACATCACTAACGAACGCACTGAAGCGTAAGAATATCCTGTATACCGTATGCAACTGGATAGAAGCCAGCCTAAGAAACAGAGTAATTATATCTATGCTGGGTGAGGACACAGTAGAAGGAATAGTGGGAAGAGGCTGCCCACAGGAAGGCGTTTTATCGCCATTGTATTGGGCGGTCCTGATTGACTATCTCTTGGCAAAAATGGCCAAGGAGAGATTCTACTGCCTCGGCTACGCGTATGATATATAATTCTAATAGTCAGAGGCAGGTATCTGGAACATGTCTCAGAAAGAACTCGCACTGAACATAGTAGATAACTGGTGTAGGGATGAAGGCTTGTCGATTAATCCGCAGAAAACCGTAATTGTCCCGTTTACAAAGAGCAGAGTACTAAGAGAACTTTGATGTCCTACGCTTAATGAAGCGGAAATCTCCTTCTTAAAAGAGGTCAATTATCTAGGAGTTATTTTTGACCAAAAGATGACCTGGGGCCCATACCTCAATAAAGTTTTTCAGAAGACTAAAATTTTCCTGGGAAGATGCAGAAGGCTTTGTTGAAAAAGCTGGAACTTAATCCAAAGATAAATCTATGATTATACAAAATAGTGATAAGATCAATGATAACCTACAGTTCGGTTGCCTGGGGTATAAAGGTCACACAGGCCGTAGCAATCAGACAGCTTTAAAGTCTGCAAACGCTAGTATTCGTATGCATCACGGGGGCCATGAAAACAGCCCGAACCGCAGCCTTGGAAATGGTGCTAAACCTGCCGCCACTACATATCTACATACAGGGTGAAATAAAGGCGGTACTATACAAACTGAGGCAAGGCCAGGGTTCAATTATAAAACACCAAAGGACTATGAGCTGAAAAATAGAGGAGGGTCCAGAGGTCAGCTCGTTGTTCGAGATGCCTTTAGACATAACAAAACCTATTTTCATCTTCAGCAGGCACTTCCGGGTTGTCGTACCAGATAGGGAAGACTTGGAGAAAGGTCCTCCAATTAAAGCAGACCACATCTGGTACACCGACGGCTTCAAGACCAGTAGGGGGGTCGGAGCCGGCATCTGCGGGGACAGACTTAGGGTGAAAATATCTACAAGTCTCGGACAAAACGTCACGGTGTTTCAGGCGGAAATCGCTGCAATAATGCAGTGTACTATACCGATAAATGAAAAGAAAGTTGAGAGTAAAATCATCCTTATTTACTCCAGCCAGGCGGCCCTAAAGACAATCAGCTCCCGAAAGATCAGTTTCAAGCTGGTTGCGGACTGTATATGTTCCCTAAAAGAAGTGGGCCTGTCCAACAAACTTACCATAGTCTGGGTACTAGGCCATGAGGGTCATTTAGAAAATGAAAAGGCTGACGACTCAGCCAAAGGAAGATCGACCACTGAGATGATAGGCCCCGAACCATTCTGCAGAATTTTTGTAGGCTATTTTAAAACATCTATCAAGAACTGGATAGACAGAGGGTTCCAGAGCTGGTGGCAGCGAACACTAGGACAACGACAGGCAAAGCAATTTATTACATCCTGCTCGCCCAAGTTTACAGCGGACCTACTAAGCCAAAATTGTTAGAATAACGGTAGACCAATTAACAGGGCATTGTGAACTCAACAAGCACCTAGAAAGAATGAGTCTAACAGAGGATAGCCTGTGCAAGTTCTGCCGTACAAATATGGTGCCATTGCGAAGCACTATGAAGACTTAGGTTTGCGAGGCTTGGAGAGGAAAAGTCCAATCCGGCAAGCTACATAGGGTTTCCAGTACCATGGCTCTAAAGTCTAATAAAAAGGACGGGTCTAGAGAACACACTCTAAGGACAGACATGAGATACCACAATAAATCTGACAAGGTTGCAGTGGTAGAGTACAGTAACTCTATTAAACCACAATGGCGACAATTGCTGTCTTATTTTTGATTGGGTCTTTAAAATCCTGTATATTCATATGAAAAACGTCGCCATTAGCGCCCACCCTATTAATTCATATTCAAATTTACCTAAGGGTGGGCAAAAAATGGCTGCGACACCTTTATTGTCGCAACTGTATGGTAGAAGACGCCTCTGTGCCATCTCCATTCAAACAAATCTACAAGTGCGCAAAATATTTTTTAGTGGAATATTTGGACTTGCCTGGCAATCATTAAGACTTGCAGTGAAATTATTCCTTGTAGTTTCCGATAATTGCATTCCTCTTATGAGCATTTTTATACATAAGAGAAATATTCAGTGAAATTTGCAAAAGTGATATTCTCAAATCAATTGCAGAAAGTTTATATGACAACCATTGCCAGTTCTCAAACAACGGCTTACTGCACTATGAAATTGAATGAATGGTCCTTCTTTGTGAACAGAACATATAAAAATAAGCAGTCAAAATACAAATTTCTCTGCAAACAGAAAGGTGAAACTTGGAACTGGCCAAAAAGTCCATGGTAATGTCATTTATAAAGACATTAAATAGTAAAAGTCCCAAGAGGGATCTCGCAGCAAGGTCAAGGTTCCTCGCTTTCGTGCCAGAGCCAAAAACGAAGCGACCTTAGTGGAAGTCAGGAAGATTTCTCTTGGGATACAAAACCCAGGCCTGAAGATGGGAGAATGGCTCCTGCTGAGCCGGAAAATAGGGAAGGAAGGACAGGCTCCTGGCCTTCTCTATGAATCAAAATTCGTCCAAGACTCTGGAGAGAACCCAGTTTAAAGGATATCATAAACTGGAACGCGTGACCTCCAGGGTCATTAGAAAGAGGAAGGATGGCGATCAAGGTAATTCAGATCAACCTCCACCATAGTAAAGCAGCCTCGGCGGTCCTTTCTGCTGCTATGGGCGAAGTAGATATTGCCCTGATTCAGGTACAGCAGATCCACTATCACTCCTCAGGCCTGCATATACATTAAAAAGAACGTCAATATATTGCTCCTAACTCTTTTTTGTTATAGGAATTTGACGGCAGCCAGAATTAGGCTCATCGCGGGCAATAGGCCGAGGGATATTATTATCGGATCAGCCTACTTACCCTGAATTAACACCAACTAGAAGTGTAACACTGTAGGACGAATGGGACACAACTACTCGCTCATCGGGTGTGATGCGAGTGCTCACACAGTCTGGGGCCAGAGCTGGGAGTAACGACAAAAAATAGTTACTTTACTTTAACGAGTTACTAAAAGTAACGCGTTACTTGGTAACTTTGTTACTTTTTAGATTGATTGATAAGTAACTGTAACGACGTTACTTTCCTGAAGTAACTGCAGATCATTATTTTGTTAAAGTAACGAGTTACTATGAAAGTAGCGCGTTACTATGAAAATAAGGCGTTTATATAGAAGTAACGCGTTACTAGTTCTATGAAAGTAACGCGTTATTTCAATTTGTTTATCTTTTTTACAAATAATTGACGACCGAGGAAAAGGAAAATAAGTAATCCAAAAATTTTATATGTCAAATAAAGTGTGGGTAGTACAGAAGATTTGTTTTGAAAGATCAAAATAATCATTTTTGGGCGTGGCACGCGTGGCCTCTGCTCTAAAGACACTATATGCAGACACTGGGACGCTTCAAAAAGCAGGTTTGTCCAAAACCAAGTTTTCTCTTTAGTCGCTCAATCCTTAATCCGTTTGAATTTTGCAACAAAACTCTTCCACATATTTTAGTCCAGGAGGTGGCGCCAAAAACATGCAAGAGTTTTCGCAAGGGGGATATTTTCAAAATAGGTCGTACTTTAGTGCTAGAATGCTAGTGTACAGTCAGCACTCACAGTTCCGGGACAGCTGGCTCTGGGACGCGGGCAAAGTTGTAATTTTAAGAAGCATCTAAACTGTTTTCTCAAAGCTCAAAATTTATAGAAATTTTGCACATTATTTGTTTGAAGGTCACAGATAACGTATGTAAATCGTCAAACGTCTAGTTCGTTGCAAAAAGGAGGTCAGACGTCTTCAAAGTTTTTATTTTATGGCATTTTCTTCAAATATTTGCCAAATACCTGCAAAAATATATTTTGACAGGACACCGAAGAAAAAGCCATAAAATAAAAACTTTGAGGACGTCTGACCCCCTTTTTGCAACGAACTAGACGTCTGACGATTTACATACGTTATCTGTAACCTTCAAACAGATAATGTGCAAAATTTCTATAAATTTTGAGCTTTGAGAAAACAGTTTAGATGCTTCTTAAAATTACAACTTTGCCCGCGTCCCAGAGCCAGCTGTCCCGGAACTGTGAGTGCTGACTGTACACTAGCATTCTAGCACTAAAGTACGACCTATTTTGAAAATATCCGCCTTGCGAAAACTCTTGCATGTTTTTGACGCCAGCTCCCCAACTATTTGGACTCACAAACTAATAACATATTGGCATTTTGTGAAGGTCTTATTTGATTGTTTGGACTGCTGTGTTGGTAAGTCAAATTAAAGAATAACGCAATTTTCAACGTAAATAGTTATATTTGAAGTAACGCATTACTTTGAAAGTAACGCTTTATTTAAAAGTAGCGCTTTATTTCAAACTAACGCGTTGAGCTAACAGGTTACTTTCGAATAACGAGTTACTTTTAATTAACGAACTACTTCTAAAGTAAAGAAGTTACTTTCAAAGTAAAGAAGTTACAGTAACGCGTTACTTTCCAATAAGTAACGAAAATAAAGTTATCATTATTCGAAAGTAACTGTAAATTTTAAGTAACGAGTTATTTTTAAGCAAAAATAACTGTAAAGTAACGCGTTACTTTTTTCAAGTAACAATCCCAGCTCTGTGGGGCAGTACTAACATCAACGACAGAGGTGAGTCTTTACTACAATATATTATAGCAAACAATTTGGATATAGTAAATGTAGGAAAGAAACCTACCTTTGTTAATTCAACTAAAAAGGAGGAGGTACCTAATCGACGTGAAACTAACTTCAAATCATATGAGTAATTACGTCACAAACTGGCATGTATCTGATGAGGCAAGTTGCTGCAAATTTGAAATTTCAGGGGAAACAATTTCAGTAAATTATCGGAACCTCGAAATACCGACTGGGACGCATACAAAGCTGTCTTGGAGTACAGTCTGACGAACATCAAAAAAAAAAAACACTGAAGACTTGGAGATGCTTGTGGATCAATTCAATGATGCAATTATCTCAGTCTCCAATGAAAATTGCCCACTTACAACAGGGACATCCACCAGGAAAGTGCCCTGATGGAATGAGAGCCTTGTAAAATTAAGGAAAAAATACTAGAACTGACTTCAACCACGTTGAGAAAGTTCAAGAAAGAGCTGAGGGGATCCAAGGAGGTCTTGGAGGAAGTACTGTGAGGATATAGAAAGTACTCAAGATTGTGCTGGACTTCAAAGAACTCTGTCAAAGGGCCCGAAGACAACAATCAAATCACTCAAGAACAACCTTGATGAATTTCCAAGACGGGGAAAGAGATGGCTAGGGAACTCCTAAGAATCCACTTTTCCGACTCAAAGATAGTTGATCAGACTCAGAGGACATCCAGTCCAGGAACGACTGGCTGACCTCGAAGAAAGTAGTCAACTATGAAAAAGTCAAATGGGCTATAGACACCTTTGACCCATATAAATCAACAGGGACAGATGGGATCTATCCCATAATGTTACAGAACGGAACTGAATTTGCAAACAGGATACTTTGTAACATTCTAGGAAGTAGCCTAGCCTTTGGCTAAATACCAAAGGCCTTGGGAGGCGCATTAGGGTATCGTTCATACCAAAACCTGGAAAAAATAGGACAGGACACGGCGAAGTCCCTAAGACCCATTAGTCTTACATCATTTGAGCTCAAGACACTGGAAAAACTTGTGAATAGGCACATTAGGGACGGTGTTTTGGCTAACCGACACTATACCATGACCAATATGCGTATCGGACACAGATGTCAACAGAAACAGTGCTTCACCAGCTGGTCAGTATAGTGGAGACTACACTGGACAATAAAGAGGTGATGCTGGGTTCCTTCTTGGATATAGAGGAAGCTTTTGACAACACTCCCTTTGATTCAATAACCATCAGATCTCTCAAGCACAAAGGAGTTGAGTTCACCTGCTGTGTGTAGATCAACTCCATGCTAAGAGAAAGAATACTAGAAACCACCATCGCACAGGAGACACTAGCGGCCAGGGTGTACAGGGGATACCCACAGGGCGAGGTATTATCCTCGCTTCTGTGGAATCCAGTGGCGGACAGCTTGATTGAGGTGCTTACTGACGGAGGACACCGTGCCCTCGACATAGTCATCATCTTGCCGGGTAAATTCAACTCTACAATTCGGGAACGAATGCAAGACGCTTTAGACCGAAACAACAAGATGGGTGGATAGAGAAAGGCTAAACATTAGTCCCAACAAATCCAAGACCTGAGACCTCTTAGATTAAGGGGTAAAAATATACAGATTTCGAGTGAGGTCAAGTACTTGGCGGTAACACTGGACTCAAAACTTTCCTGGAAAACACCATCAAAAAATTAGTAACATCATAATGATAACCAGACGCTTGCAAGGAAAATTATGGGGCTTAAGACCGGACATGCTGTATTGGACATACAACATGATGGTCAAACCTATCCTAACATACGCCTTCCTGGGCCTGTATTCTCGTCACCGGCGAACAGCGTTTTCTCAAGAGAACGATTGCTCTGTTTTAGTCACCTATATTGTTATTTCCATAATACTGATAAAGACAGAGCAATCGTTCTCTTGAGAGAACGCTGTTCTCCGGTTACGAGCCCTGGTGTGGTGGCCCAAGACACTGCAGGGAAGTGCCACACGACAACTTAGCAAAGTGCAAAAACTGACCTGCTCAGAAATAACGAGGTCAATGCGATCCACACCAACAGCAGTCATGAAGACCCTCCTAGACCTCCCACCTCTACACATAGTGATACAGGGGGAGGCAAGGATGGGAGCGTACAGACTGCAGCCAACAACCGCCTCCAACAAAAGGACGGGACACATGGCAATCATAGAACTCGTGGGAGGAGAGATTTTCAACATGAGGCCTGACTACATACCAAAATGATACTACCTGTACAAACCATTCGAGGTGATCTTCCCAAGTAGAACTAAATGAGAACATGGCATACCGGAAACCAAAAACCAAGACCAGACCTGGTACATAGACGAGTCGAAGACCGCGTTTGGTACCGGAGCAGAGGTATACTCCGCCAACTATAGCGATCACTATGCACTGGAAAGACATGTCTCTGTTTTTCAAGCAGAGGTATACGCTATACTCCAATGCGCAGTGGAGAACAACAGGAGAGCTACAGCTAACAGGCAGATCCTTATAATGATTGATAGTTAGGCGGCAGTGAAGGCCCTTTCGAGCCAGACAGTGTCATCAAGACTAGTATGGGAATACCAGGAAGAAGTCAGAGCCCTGGCGGACCAGAATAAGGTGAAACTTATCTGGGTGCCAAGATACAGAAAATTCGAAGGCAATGAAAAAGCTGATGGACTCGTAAAGAAAGGGTCAGAGACAAAACTTATCGGGCCAGAACTGTCTCTAGAGATACTAAAAAGTATGAAGCCACATCAAAGACTGGATTCGTAAAGAATATCAGCGACACTGGACAACTTTCAGGCAGAATCATGGTAAGGAATTCATCGACCAACCATGCAGCAAAAGGGAACTGCTACAAAGGCGCAGGAGCCGACTGAGAACCATAACGGGACTCTTGACTGGTAAAGGTCCACCTGAACAGGATGAACCTGTACGACGGAGACCTTAATTGTAGACTTTGCAATAAGGAACCCGAGACAGTCAGAGTACACATCCTGGTGAACTGCGAGGCACTGGATCACAGAAGAGATAGCATTTTCGGGCAACCAAATATAGAACCAAAATCAATAATGAAACACCACCCAGTAAAAGACCTGTACAACCTCGTACAAGGCACAAAAATACTGGAGTGGTTGGAATAAACCGCACAGGGTAAGTACAATAAGCCTTCTCAGGCTTCAATGCTGCAGAAGGGGAAAAAAGAAGAGGTCCTCAGTGGACACCTAAGAAACCCCAAACGCAACACCAAGTTTCCGATAGCCAGATACTTTATGTCTATCAACATTATTGACATATTGCACAAAGCACCAAACAACAAGCATCATTCTAGTGGTTTCTCTTTAAATTAACGTAGAGTAATTTCTCAATTACTTCTTTAAAAGCCAAATAACTGAAGTGTGAAATGACAAAATAAATATTTGTATTAATTCCGATTCAAACCGTTTTCATGAGACTTCATTATATTTATTGGCGATTGACGAAATTGGTTCAGCACTTCATTTAAAGTGGCTCAAAAAAGTTGCAGAATTGTTATTCTGGTGATTACATTTTGGCTATGTTCCAATATCAACTGTCAGTACTAAATGATGTTTTAAATGCGCTAGTGACGACATTATTATTTACTGGACGGGGATTCTATAGAATCACGATTCGATACATGACTCGAAAACGAGACGATTTTTACCGACAATCCTACAGCAAAACAGTACGCTGTTAAAATCGGAACGACAAATGACAGTAAAATTAGCACAGTAAAATCCAGTACTCAGTTGATTACGGAACATAGCCTTTATCTTTTGAATCTACAATTTTCAACAAATACAAATCTACAATCCCATTCCAAATCATAGACATTGAAAAATAAATTAATGAAAGACAAAAAGAAGAGAACGTGCTTTCCATATTTACAATACAAACAAAAAAATTCTCCTAGATGAAAATAATTTAAAATTAAAACCTAATATTATTAAAAATTTCATCAATTTTAGAACAATTACTCCAAACCAATGACATCTTAACATAGATAGACACGATATCTCATTCATAAACGGATGTTTGTTGTGATGATGAGACCCCCAATGGGCCAGGAGAGGTTAGTTGCTCAAGGGAGGTCATAGTAGGGATTCATCAGTGGTGGAAACAACACCCGCTCTCTTCCTGAACCCTCCTATCTTACAAAATCGGCATTGCCAGTAGTCGTTTTTAGTCTTGAACCTCCAACTTTTTGAAGCAAAGTCATAACAGGATAAAATATCCATTCATGATAATTTGGCAATCAAATTTGAGGGGATACACTTGCTCTCTTAGATGTTGGCGACATAAAATTTTGTTTACTGTAATGTCTATCTATGTTAATATGTCATTGCTTCAAACACACATTAAAATATAATGAGAACAATTTAACAACAATTTAATAAAATATTTCTTTTTGGTCATAAAAAAAATGATCGAATAAATAAGTAATTTCTAGATAAAATTTCACATTCAGGACTTTACATCCAACTTTAGAAAAAGGACAAATTAAAACAAATAAAGCTTAATATTCCAAATATAAATTTATCACAGATAACTCTTGTAAAATTTGTTGAATTTAGACAGAAAACGCCAACTTTGAACAAAGATATTCATAGATTTTTTTTAGGGTTGGTTTATTCATATTTAGGTAAACTTGCTGGTAACTATCTGGAAGATAAATTTATCGTTCTATAATTCTATTGGTTTGCAGTTAACTAAACTAGCCGACCAATGCGATTACAGATTGCGTTTTTATCAATGAAGTAGAAAGAAGCTTTGGAATGAGTTTTGCGTCATTGAATTGATTCCAGAATGAGATGGCGCTAGTAAGGGCAAGAAAATCTCATAGATCTCTCACTTTAATGTTGGCCACAAATATATGTATTGAGTAGATAGGCAAAGGCCTATTCCAGCCTTCTTACTACTTCATTGCTTTTTATCCGTCAGATTGCATACCTCATAGTTTATCAGAAGCTGAATAAATCAGACCTTAGTGTTCTGTATTCACTTCAAAACACTTAAAAGCTATTTTCAACGGGATAAAAAAAAGTGTAAGGTAATAGTTGATCAGTTCCGTAAGTCTTTATACAGAAAGTAGAACAAATCATGCAGCAATCAAATGATCAATGGAACAACCAGAACAAATCGCCAAGATGGTTAGAAAATTTACAGTAACTTTGAAGTTGAAGACACAGCAAACAAGCGGATAGATTAGAAAAGTAGAATTTTTTCTGTTAACTTTTTTGACAGAATTTTTTCGTTGCAAATTTTTTAGATAATTTTAGCCCTAGACATTGATGAAAAAAAAAAAACTATGAATAAAAATTATAAAAACCCAAAGAGTTATTGATCAATATTATCAGTATAACCCTGCTGTATTAAAAGGTCACTGTCCTCCATCAGAGTCTCACCATTTTCAATAGCAAAATCATTATCTAGCTGATTAACAGTTGTTGTTTCATTATAATTAGCAATAAATTCGTTATTCGATTCTGTTCTAAGAGGGTGTCCGTTTATCAAGCAATCCGAATTCACTTGATATATGAAAGTTTCGTTTGAATTTAGAGGAGTGGAGGGATACGATCGAGAACTGTTCTGTTGATGATCTAACAAATTGATTTTTAAATTTTGCGTAAAAGGCAACGGAGTACTGGGAACAGATCTAGAAGGATTATTACATTTGGATATGTCAAAATTAACATCTATGCTTTGGGAACGGGTAATATTTCTTGGTGGTTTTTGAGTTGGAGAAGTGTACGGAGTGAAACTAGTCTCCGAACAAGTATTTATGAAATTCAAACCATATTCTGTTAAACATTGATTATTAGTAGACATATCTAAACTGAAAGCGTTAATATTATTATTCTCAAGAGAATTTAAATCTTGAGAAACAATATTGGTATCTTTTTTTATAATTTCCTGCATGATTTGTGCGTGCATTTCATTTAACGGAACTGACTGGGATCTAGATGATAAATCTGGAGGAAAAAACTGTTGTAGGGGAGTGGAATCTGGAATATTATTAGTGACATATTCAGGAGTATATTGAACCTTACTGTCGGCATTCAATAATTTCTGAAGCATACTCTTATTGTTATTATTTAACATTGGACTTACATTATTCAACATTGGACTTACAGGTGCAGACATAGGCATATTATAATGTTTTATTTCAGGAGAAATTTCTAGGGACAATTCTAATTCGTTTTTAATTTTACCGTGTTTTGTTACCAAAATGCCAGCATTTTGGTGTGTAGAATTTTTAGAGCGAGAAATAGGCGTGTTTCTAGGACTTACAAATGGACTTGCATTCGTACTAGAGCACTTGGACTGTACACCGCTCGGCGATTGTGGTCCAGGTGAAATTGGAGTGAAATTAAAGTTTTTACTTCTAGTGGTCGGACTTGGTGGAACCGAATCGCCAAAACTTACGCGCCTCCTAGTGCTACTAGTTAAACTAGATAGTACATGATTATAAGGAATACAAGGTGATGGAGAAGGCATTTGCTGCTGAGGCATGGAATTATTATTGGGAAAGGGAGAAGCAATTGTTTCAGGTAAAGTGATGTTATTGATTGGTGGAATAATTTGTTTCTTCTCGGATATGCCATTTTGCTCTAAAAGTTGCCTCAATGTTGACAGCTTGTTGGTCTGATCCACATCTATTATTGTAGGAGGGGTCACTGCTTCTCCATTGGCATTAAAATATTTTGATAGTTCTTCCTCGTGTTGACTGTTGTTTGTTCCTAGTAAAACAACACATATTAGATATATGTATTACAAAATATTAAAGTAAAAAGTACTCACCCAGATATTCATCCATAGCATCTTTTTCAACATTGCTCACACTGTCAAGTCTTTCTCTAGTAAGTGGAAAATCCTCGTCTTCCGCACATTCATTCAAATTGTCATCAGGTATCTTATCTACAATTAACACTAGTTTTACCACCATATCTTCACAACAAAAATTATTAAAAAAGGTTCTTTAGTTGATTGCTCCTTTGAAAGTTATTTCAATAAATGAGAAATCTACCTATTTCAATAATAAAGGAACATTGTTCTATTTGGGGTCGAAATTCAAGTGTAACGGATTCTGGTTTCACTAAAACTCATTTATATTTTTCAAATTATCAAGCCATAACATTCATTTATAGAATAAAGAGTTCTGTAACGCCAATGTACAGGGTGTCCCATTTAAGATAGTATTGGGGGTTATCTGCTAAACTCGTAGAGGTAGATTTTTTTGATTCCACATTCTTAGGCCAATTTTTTATGACGGATCGAATGCCGCAAACCGCAAGTCTCTATCTCGTACCGTTTCGAAGATACAGGGTGAAACTTGAAATTCTCACTTTTCGAGGGAAGTCATTATCTGGCGTAAGAAAAAAGATATCAGAAAGATGAAAATTGTATCTGACGCAGTTTTTTACGTAGATTCCATTGGCGTACTGCAATTTTTTTTGCAAGGTACCGTTTAAGAGATATGACTCAAACTTCATCTTTTTTAAATGGGACACCCTGTAAATATTTACATTTTTAGAATATGCATAAAATTACCTTTCCAATGATATATAGTTTGTTTATATTTTGTTGTAATTTGCTAATATTCTTATGGTATTTAAAACTTTACATAAGAAATAAGTCTTGCAAATCACATTGAATATTTGGTTTTATTTTTTGGTGTGAAAATAGTTATTTTCCTAACAAGTGCGGGAAGTGATACTTGCCCGAACTCCGCTCCGCGTCGTTCGGGTCAACGGCAGTCGCGTGCGGGAAAGACACTTTCCGCATGAGTTAGGAACATTATTTTTTCTACGAGCGCGTTCAAATATAAAATAAAAACTAAGTACATTCAAAGCGATATATTATTAAAGAAATTTAATTACAAAATTACTTATTTTTAGGAAGAAATTTTGTGCTCTTATTTCTCTTTCCTGGAGCTTGTGCAATGCTTATAAGTGTAATATAAAAAAAAAAAACTAGTATTTATTCCAAAGTATAATTGCTATCTGTCTGTATTTCTATCTAATTTCCTTTGCAATAATGAGAAGTCGTAAAAGTGTAACTTACCATTAACATTATTCTCTTGTACATTCTGCACGAGCTGAGATCGGGTGTCGGTCAACGCTGGTGCCATCGCTTGCGCGTTGACAGATTCCGCTGGCACGTTGTACGTTGCAATATCACATAGTTGCATCAGTCTGGGCTGGACCGTTTTGTACTTGAGTTTATGCTGGTTCCGTAATTTAACAGAAACTGAGAGCTTGGGGGACGCCTGCTGCTGCTGCTGTTTCAAAACAGTTACCTTGGTGCTGTTCGTAGGTGGTGAAGCTGCCTTGTCTTGCCTAGTATCTAAACAGTAGAATGTGCGTTTTAAAAAAGATCGTTTTTTATATTAGCTCTAACGTTTTTTTTACCCGTGACTCCTGGTCCCCCGTCAACCAAGACCGGTTTCTGAAAACTCTTGAAATCAGGTAACGCTAGCTGAGTGAACTCTGGTTTATCACAGATAGTTGCTTTGCCCTGAGTCGGACTGACGCTGTTGCTGCCACAACTGCTACTTCCAGTGCTACATTCGCCGCTTGTCAGGGTGCCTATTGTAGATTCTAGCAGTGTTGGAGTGGGGTTCGTTGAAGCGGGCACGCTATGTGATCGACACTTTTTGGTACCAGGTTTAAGTTCCAGTTTACAAGTCTAGTTATTTCAAAAAATTAAAAATATAGTTTAGTAACATTTTTAGAATTTTCATTAGTTTTTGCTTGTAGCACATTTTGGTTTTATATTTTACATATGGAAAATATACCTAATCTTAATAGTTTTGACCAAAATTGGACATTCTAGGGAAAACATACTCAGCTGTAGTTATTTAATTTGTTTTACAATGCACATACATAAAGTTCCAGAAGCAGTGGTGCTCTGCTCCAAATTTGTGCTATAACTTTGACGATTTTTGATCAATTTCTTTCCTTTTGAAGTGCCACATGTTATAGTAATGTTTGGAATTCATGTAGGTATAAGGTAGGTACTATCTTTTATTTATCAGTGTAAAATTGCCAAATTCACTGATTCCTTCCTCATTTAATTTTGTCATACATGTTGAAGCATATTTGATTTGATTTGACCCTGATTTACGTAGCCTGTGCATTAGAATTCCTACAGTTTGTAGATGAATTAGTAGAGCATCTAAAGTCTGTTTTTTTTTTAAAGATAAAAGTCAAAATGACATTATGTTGGCAATACAATGTGAAATTGTCAATGCTTTCAAATTTTTTATGTAGAAAAGGCTTGTGTTGCCAACATAGTTACTAAATTTTTGACTTGGGGAATTATCTTTACATAAAATAGCTATTTATACAATAAGTTACGAAATGAGTGTCTTTTAGGCACGCGACGTGAAAATTGTCCAACGAGGCAAAGCCGAGTTGGACAACACGTCGAGTGACTAAAAGACATCGTTTCGTAACGTATTGTATACAAGATTTTTTCTACTGGCATTTTATAATAAAAAAACACAATTTTATTTCATGTGAATAAGTCGATTACACCCAAAATCTTTGTTACCTGCTTTTACTTGACACCTGACACTTTTCATGCGATTTTCTTTTGAAAATTCGACATCAATAATTAAAATCCTAGAAAGTAGGTAATAACACAAAGTTCTGTTTTGAGTAACCCAAACGTTCAATTCAGTAATTCCATTTTCAATATTCATAATAAATACAAAACAAAATTCAAATATGTTTTTAGTGTGTTTTTTATTTCTGAATAATGAATGACACTTTTAGGCACTAGTGCTTAAAAATTACTTTTACGCACTCATAAGTCACTTTTACGCATTCAAAAGTCACTTTTACGCACTGAGTGCCTAAAAGTAACTTTCACGCACTCAGTGCCTAAAAGAATGTCGTTTCAAAACTGAAATGACAATCGAAAAGTTGCTATTATGAAACGTCAGTAGAAAAAACAAATTTTAATTCACTTGCAATGCACGAGCTACGTAAATCACCCTGTATATTATAATAGAAAATTAAAAGGTAAAAAAAAAGAGTATATATACAGGGTGTCCCACGGTGGATGGCGTATTAGATGTTTATGGAGAACTAAAAATCGGATCATTTTGAAAATTTGGCAACCGGGATAGTAAAGGTGCTAGGACAGAACTGGGCCAAAATCGCCCATTTTCCCATGTAAATCTCCATAAGAAAATTTCAGGTCCATTCTGCCACTTTTCGGACCATTTTGGAGTGGGGGTAAAATTTCCTAGAATTAGGCCCCGCCCCCTTTCCAGCGCCCAGGTATGCATCGACCGTTCGCACTACCTCAGTAGCCGCCGAGGCAGCCACACATACTTGCTACCTGATACTGATGATGCCGTAACTCTCGCTCTCTTGCTCTCATACCTCAACCTCGTACCTCATACCTCTCTCTCTCTCTCCCGCTCTCATATATAATAGGCCCACGCAGCTACAGCATCACGAAATAGAAATTAAAAAAAATTCGGTAACCACTGAGAACCGATCTCCCGTCCCCAGCTCGAAAGCCCGCTACAGCAACCACTAGGCTATTCTAGCAGTTGATAATAAATGGTGAAAAGGAGGAGACAACATGCAAGCATGAGGAGCGGTCAGTTACCTCGGACATATTGGCACTTTGTGTGTCGCATACCTCATACTGATAATGGCGTTACTAATTAAAATTGATGTGGGTGAAATAATTGTCGAGGAAATAAAAATTGTAAATTAATCAATGAATCCATCGAGTGGTCATAGACCGTGCATACCTTGATGCTCCATACAAGGTACTGATGATGATACACCTCCCGCTCATACCGCATACCTGTCTCTCTCTCTCTCGCACAACAAACACAAATTATTTTTGTTATGGTTTTGTAGGAAACTGGGTTTTATTATCAGCTCAGTGCATACATCTAATAGACAACCATTGCCTTGGAAAAAATTGATTATAATATAAAAAGAGTGTTAAGTATCGAAAAAGATCCTAGTTATTTTTTATCAGAGGTTTCAATCAATTATTCCAAGAAATTCAGTAACATTAATACATGAGCACCTCACAATAAGTGATGTAATTATAAAATGCCTGAAAAAGCACAGATTACTTTAAAAGTTCAATTCAAAACTAGTTGACGAGTCTAAACAAGAGTTGCGGTTTCTACTGATAACACAGATAGCCAATTATTTCAAAATAATTTCACTTACTTGTGTGATATCAACAAAAGGTACCAATCAATTATTCCAAGAAATTCAGCAGACAACAAGACCAAATTTTTTTACACGTTCGCAAGAACAATTTGAAATAACTAGCGATGTAATTATAAAATATCTAAGAAACATAGATTAGTTTAAAAGTTTAATTTAAAAATGAACACTATACCAATCGAGTCATGCGGTTTTGCCGCCATCATTACACTGATAACTGACAAAATAATTTTACTTTATAATATAAAATATATTTCATGTAAACATCATCCAGCGCGCCAGCTACCGTCGCTATAACCCAACACCTTTCCAAAGCCTGCGTCTTCAGTCGATCACACTAGCTTGCACACAGCCTTAAAGGCGGGGTCAATGACCGCATCGGACATACAAACACACTTGCAATCCAGCACCCTCACGCTTCATCATTCTCATACATAATCATTTGGCTCCAATGCTCCAATAATCAAACTAATCATTAATAATCACAACAAATAAGAGACACGGCATTTCGATTCATAAACCAAAAAAAGCAAATTATTGTTTAATTTGAAAAGGTTAGGTAAAGTTATGAGAGGCGTTATCTCTCTGGAGTCTAGTCCAACCTTGAAAAGATATTGATTATAATTTTATATCCAAAAAAAAGATTCCAATTACTTATGTTATCAAAAAAAAGATCCTAGATCCTCAGAGAAAAAACTGAGGATTCAATCAAAATAATAACTATTCCATGAAATTTGGCAACAGGAAGACCTTGCGGTTTGCAGCCATCATTTAACTGATAACTGACGAAATAATTTTAAATTATCCCTAAAACATTTTTCATAGAAGTGAAAACGTTCCTGTACCAAAATTTTTTGTAACAGAAGCCCCCAAAACGAAAAATCAAGTTTATTGCTGGATGGTATCATTTAACTTGCACCATTTTTCACTTATGAAATAATTGCATTGATGACTCACCGCCCACATCGTATCTTGAACAAAACCGCAAAGCTTTAAACTAAAAATGCATGTATTTAAATGGGAAAATGTGTTCAAATTGGGTAAAAACCGATAATTGCTACACTTTTACATTGATTCTTATGGAAAACGTCTTCAAGCACCTGATAGATTGGGGGGCCTTTCTCATCAGTTACACGAAAACCGTTCTGTCCTCCGTCCGTCCTACAGGTTAAAAGGGCTACGCTTAATCGGGATGCTCATTCGCGATTAGTGCGTCATAGAGATAACTAGGTGCTCTAATCATCCCGAATTTTTATCTGTGTTTCGTGGTTTTATTGAAAACTGTGTTTCTTCTAGAAAATATTTTCAAAGGTGAGTAAATTTATTTTTGATAACAATTTATTTTTGGATTTAAGTATAAGGATTTTTTAATTGTGGTTATTATCTCAGATGTAAAACGTAGCCAAAAGGTGTGGTCAACTATTTAAGTAGATTATTCTTTAATTTAGCAGATTGTTCTACTAAATTATAAGTTTTAGAGATAACAATTTTTTGATTTCATAAAATATTACTTTAACACCTTTGATCAAAACTAAATTTTTTAATCTTTTACAGATAACATGATGCCAGACTTTGTTGCAATGCTGAGACATATAGCTGCTCTCCTCGGGCTCATTACTCCCGCTAATACGGACCAGGCTGTGAGGGACGGGCTCCTCGAGTGTACTCGAGGAGCCCGCAAGCTCAACAAGGCTCTCAAAGGAGCAAAGACCATGGGTGAAAAGCAGCACTTGGAGGCCTCACTCCGACACATAAGGACTCTTAGAAATCAATTTAAGGCAATGCTGAAGAAGGGTGCGGGAATTACATCACGTCCTGAACAAGCGGGGAAGCGGGTGCATTGGGATGACTCCATTTCTGCTTTTAGTAGCAGAATAAGGACTGGAGTTATCTCAAATTTAAAGCATAAAGATCCTCAGACATTTTTAGCGGATTGTAAGAAACTTTTTAGGAGACGCATTAAAAATGCTCTTAAAAAAGATAATGCCCTCAAGGTGAATGCGACGTTTTGCGGGGAATTCTGCATCGTGAAAGGTGATAAAGTACTTGAAGAATTCAAGTACTTTACCACCTCCAACGCCCCAATCTACCGAAATACCAATCTCAACCAGTGGTTTGATGAGAAGATCACTGGACCAATTATGCATGAAATGGAGGAGTTTCAAGAACGTGATAGCGGGTGGGCGTTGAACAAAATTATAAATCTGGGTATCAACATAAATAAATTCACGCCGCAGCTAGGATCCTCCTACATCGAGCTACCACCAGCAATAAAACATAAAAAGGCCTGCGTAAACGTGCAGAACACCGATAACAGATGCTTCGCATGGGCAGTAGTTTCGGCATTGTTTCCAGTTGAGGAACATCCCCAACGCTTAAGCAAATACCCGGACCCTGCAGATGTGCTGAAGTTGGAAGGGATTCAGTTTCCAATGACCTTGAAACAAATCTCCAATTTCGAGAAACAAAATAGCCTAT